TAATCGGTCATCATGTGGGATGTTGGTTTGTATAGTTTGTATGGAAATATCCTACTCATGTAAAAACCACGAGGAGTCAGTGGCACCTTAGAGACTAACCAAAATACATAGAATTATGAGCTTTCATGGGTAAAACCCACTTCATTATCTTTTCAATTCATCTGATGAAATGGGTTTTAGCCATGAAAGCTCATGATTCTATATATTTTGGTTAGTCTCTAAGGGCATATCTACACTGGGGAGTTATTTTGAAGTAACTTATGTTGAAATAATAACCCCCAAAATAACAATTTCAAAATATGTGTTATTCCTCAGGACAAGCAGGAGTTATTATTTCAAAATAATCAGCCCATGATTTCAAAATAACAAGCTTGGTAGCGTGGATGCCCACTTGTTATTTTGAAATAGTGTAGATCAGGGCTAAGGTGCTACAGGACTCCTTGTTTTTAAAGCTACAGACTAACACAGATATCCCTCTGAGTTCCTACTGTTGTGTTACGAATCTTCTCCTTTTTTTCTTCTAGCAGTGATTTTTTTTAAAAGCATTAAAGTTCCAGGGAAGAATTTAACTTTGCATTTAACTTCAAGCATATGTATAGTTCCACTGAATTCACATACTTATATGCTTTGCTAGTCTGGGGCTCAAGAGACCTTTTAAAGTTATATTTTATTTAACAAAAATGTCATAATTATTCCAATTGTGCTTCAGAGAATGTGAACATCTCTTCAGCCCAGGCCTGCAATTTAGAAATCTACCACGGAACTCTTTAGAAAATCATTTTAACTTAGTAGCTGTGTGGATACAGCATAATAATTTGCCTATTACTCTAGGAGCACTTCAAACTGACAAGAAATATCATTAAAACAATTACACAAGGGATCAGAAATGGAAAATTAAAAAAAGCAGGTTTAAAAGGCTTTAGTGGGGATGGTAATGCAAGTTTCTTGGTGAGCAAGAGTGTAAAAGGCAAACTAAGTAAAATATGGAATAAAATCAAGGGCACAAATCTATTTGGAAATAATCATGACTAGATTTACTATTTGCCAGGTTAAGATTTTGTTTTGCCTTTTTTGAAGCATCATCAAAAATACACAGAACATCTTGTCTTATTTTTATCTGGGAGCGAAAGAGCAACAATAAAAAAATCCAAAACTTTCAGTCATGGATAATGTTTTTGGGAACTGTGCAATGTATAACATTTCTGAAAACAAGTCTATCATTAGAGGCTTTAATATACTCTGTGTCTTTAGGCAAGCAAGTATGTAAATATTGGCCTAGTTGTATACATGTATAGTGAATCAAACCAGCAATTGAACCATATAATAGCCGCCCAAAGAGACGATGGAGTGACTACTTACATTTGGATAAGTGTTGGGGATGACTGATTAGACTCCCTAAACTGTTATTTATATTGCTGCTCTCTGGATAGAGATCTGAAGCCCTCTTGATTCACTGCAGGTTCGATACCATGGTATTACAGGTTGGACCTTCCTTGTCCGGCACCCTCAGGACCTGACTGGTCCTGGATGAGGGATTTTGCTGGATCGGGGAGATCATTTCTGGCCCTCTGCTGCCAGCCCCACCCTCTGCTCTGCCTCCCCACACTAGTCTGTGAGCTAATGGTATTAGAGGTGATAATTGGGGAAGCTATCTTGGTAATGGGTAAGATAGTTAGAGTCTTTGTTTATTCCTTCTCAGAGAGTGTCAAATTTTAACATGAATGACAGTTCAGAGGATTCCCTTTCAAGTGCAGATGTAAAAGGTCTTTGTAGCAGAATGCAGGTGGTTAAGTCATTGAGAGAGTGTCCTTTCTGGTTGAAATGACAAGAAACTGTTTTTTCTTTGTGATCTTGTCTGATATCTGTTTTGTGGGCATTAATCCTTTGGCGAAGTGTCTGAGATGTTAAAATTCGACACTCTCCGAGAAGGAATGAACAAAGACTCTAACTATCTTACCCATTACCAAGATAGCTTCCCCAGTTATCACCTCTAATACCATTAGCTCACAGACATCTAACTCTCCCCACCTCTAATATAATTAATTCACAGACACTTACCTTCCTTCCTCCCCCCTCCCCTGCATCCCCCTCCTGTTCTGAAATGTGATTTGTCCTTTTCATATGTGTTCATTTTTTTTAATTGTATCCTTTGGTATATATGGTTGTGACTATTTTCTTCCACTACTTGATCTGAGGAAGTAGGTCTGGCCCACAAAAGCTCATCATCTAATAAACCATCTTGTTAGTCTTTAAAGTGCTACATAGTTCTGTATTTTGCTTCAGCTACACCAGACTAACATGGCTACATTTCTATTACTATTATACAGAGCAGAGATTCACAACCTTTTTCTTTCTGAGGCTCCTCCACCATGGTATAAAAATTCCACTGCCCAGCTATGCCACAGCAACTGTTCTTCAGCACATAAAAGCCAAGACTGGTACTTGGAGAAAGTAAGAAGGGCAATTACCCAAGATCACATACCAAAGGAGGCAACATAAAACTAAGTTGCTCATGGTTCAGCGTCATCCCCAGATGGTTGGGCTCGTGTCCCAGGTTACAGTCCCACATGTTGGGTCATTGGCTTTGTCAGTCATGACCATGAGAGTTAGCCAGCAGCCTGGGGACTAAGGGATTAACTATGTCCCTTACATAACCAGGTAGCAAGCAGCCAATAGAAATGTAGGTAGGAATTTCAAACTGGGACAAAGGAATTTTGGGGTTTTCCCCTCCTTTGTTCCTGGGCAGTTTCTCTCCAGCTACTGAAAGGGACAGACAAAATGTCTTGCCCCAAGAAAAGACTCTTCACTATCTGTAAGTAGGGTAAAGTTTAGATAAATCTGTTGGGTTTTATTGTTTTATGGTTTGGGAATGGGAATCTGATATCTGTGCATTTAAAAATGAGTTTTCCTCTAATTTGTAACTAAGTTTTAGTCCATGGTGGTATCCCCCATGAGTATATTAATTGGTGACTTTTTCATCTAGTCATTATGCTTGTAATAGGAGTATTGTGGTGATAATAAAAGTTCTTTTTCTTTTTTTTATTAACCTGGTATTGATTAATTTTTTGTGTCCTGGTTTTATTTTAGGGATGAGATTTCCCAAGTGATCTCTTCCCTTGTTTCCTCAACATTACTTGGGTGGTGGCAGTGGATTTTTATTCCCAAAATCTAGGTTTTTAAGATTTTGGGGGGAAATTTCATACCAAAGCCTGGAAATATAAGGTTTTGGGGTACTTTTGCGAGCCCCCACTTCTGCATTTATCATGCCAGAGTGGGGAAGAAGCTTTGACAGGCTTTCTGTCCTGGACCCGAGCAAGTCAATGCCAGCCATGCTTGGTGAACCTCCTGAAATCAGCTCCAGACGCTCAGGGGACCCCAGGGTCCTAGTTGAGAACCACTGCTGCATAGTGTATCTCCAAATCCAGATCTCTTCAGGGCATGCCATGCCTTTCATTAAGAAGCCCAGCATTCCATTGATTTCATTTGTGAGTTTGGCTTTCCAAGTGCTGATCCAACAAGGCCTGTCCCTACAATATTAGGGCTCCATCCTGCAAACATCTATGCATGCGTAAATATATACACGTGAGCAGTCCTATTGAAGTCACACCCTACATCTTCTAGAGGATCATGTTGGCACAATCTTGTCATCTTTGACGTTTTATTTACTTTTTGTGATCTAGTTAACATGCACGAAAACAGAATCTTGTTTCTTTGTACATGAAACAGCCTGAAGTGCATGTACCAAACCAGGAACATATTAATGGTGTAGTGTGTTATCTCTTTAGTTCCTCAGGTCTGAATACAAGAAGCCAGAGATTCTGTTCTTCCCACTCATCTGCTCTCAGCGATTCAGATACTACTTTACCGGTTGTATCAAGGCATAGAGGAATACAGAAGCAGAGTACTGATTCGGGGATATCTTCACCAGTAAGCGTTTTGTTTATCAGTCTGGTTATGAGTTTATGAAAGCAAACACAGATGGAAAGTAGCTTTATGCCTAGACTCTCTTTCTGCAACATGCTAATGGATGTGTTCTGCCCCGGTTAGCCTTCAGATAGGATCATAATGGACAAATTTTGGCCAGTGTCAGAAAAGTACTATAAACAACTTTCAAATGGGTACATATAAGTGCTACAAAAGCATACTCTCTATGTTACAAAAGACCTTAATGTAAGGCAATTCTGTGTCTATCCAGCATACAGAGTCATCCATGTGCTGGGCCAGGAAATGACATAGCTTTTAATACCAGATTTAAATTCCTAGGGTTGCCCTGAAATTCCTCTCGGTGACTGCTGGTTGGGAGTGACTACCAAGCAGTTTTTGGTGGGAAGGCAAAATGTGGCAGACAGCTTCTGCCTCAGATTCCATATCTGACTCCAGCTGCAGGTTTTCTGTGCTGCTCTCTAGTGTCCTAAACCAGATTTTATGTTTAAAATATATATTCTCTCTTCTCATTCCTGTGCCATTTCATAACTGACTTTCATAAAGCATTTAATTAGTGATTGTTAAGGTAGCACAAGTCACCCGTAAACATTCACCTAGAAAATATCAGAAAGAGATATTAGAAGTGGAAAAAGTACAGAGAGGGCAACAAAAATTATTAGGGGTATGGAACAGCTTACATTTTAGAAGAGATTAAAAAACCTAGGACCATTCAGTTTAGAAGAGAGACAACTAAGGAGGGATATGAAATCATGAATGGTATCAAGAATGGACTATGTGTTGTTAACTCCTTCACATAACATTAATAGGCAGCAGGTTTAAAACAAACAAAAGGATGGACCTTTTCACACAGTGAATACTCAATCTATGGAACTTGTTTCTGCGATGGTTTGGGATCCTAGGAAAAAAACATTCTCTATATGCTACAAAAGACCTTATTGCGAGTAGTTAGGATGCCAGCAAAGATGCTGAGATATCAATAAGTTCACCTATTCTGCCAGCTTGGGCTCCCCCTTTATCTTGTCTTGCTGAGCCAGACACTGAGGCCTCCTCTAGCAAAGCACATACAGGGCCACTCCCAGTTGCAGAAAATACAGACCTTGAGAACAGTGAGAAGACTCAGTTTAAAGGATTACTGTAGCATCCAGATGTTCACACACACCCGCACACCCTGTGGGGGTAAAACTCCAAAGTTATAAGACAGTCACCTCCTTCCTCAATGTGAGGGAAGGTATACACAGCTTCTGCCCCCCACTCTGATAGAAATTACATAAACTGGGTTATATTATAAACAAGAAATAAGCTTATGAACTTTAAAAGGCTTCACTTTAAGTAGTTAAAAGGGTAGCAAACAGAACAAAGCAGATTACTAAGAAAATAATACAAAGCACACAATCTAAGCTAGAAATAATTAAATAAACTGGTTACAATTAGTTATTTCTCACTCTGGACATTATTTCAGACAGAGTCCTTCACAGGCCAGAGGTGTCCTTCCTGGCCTCGATCCAATACACTTCCAGTTATAGTCCTTTTGTTTCCAGGTGTTTTCAAGCATCCCTTTGGTGTGGGGAGGCAGAGAAAAGCCATCTGAAGACAATTATTGTTTTCCTTCCCTGACTTATGTAGAATTTCCAAAAGGCAGGAAATCTTTGGTTGATTCCTCACCAACCCTGTGGAACAGTATAACAGTCCAAGATGCAGGCTAGTAACATTATGGAATATCTGTAGGTAGACCAAATCTATTCACAGACCATTGTACTAGCTGATAGGGCATCAAGCTCTGTCTGGCTTTTCCACTCTGGTTCCTGAAGTGTCTGTAGTGGCAGTGACCCAAAGCAGCAAATATGAAATTCAGATACACAGGTCAATGTTCCTAACTGAAGGTACAAAAATGATACATGCATACAAATGGGATAATCATATTCAGTAAATCATAACATTTCCAGTGATACCTTACATGAGCCATAAAGCATATCTGTGCTATTTCATATTCACACCATAAGCATAGTTTCATAAAGCATATGGAATGCCAAGCCATAGTTGTCATGGGATGTTGTGAAGATCAAAGGTATTAACTGGGTTAAAAAATAATTAGACAAGCTCACTGATGGAAGGTCCATGAATGATTGTTAGTTAAGACCATCAGAGATCCAACTCCATGCTCTGGGTGTCCCTATACCTCTAAGTGCCTGGAGCTGGGAAAAAACAACAAGGCATGATTCACTAGAAGTGTTTCTGTTCTGTGCCATCACTCTGAAACATCTGGCAATGGCCACTGTAAGCAGACAGGTTACTGGGTTAGATGAACAATTGATCTGCCCCAAAATAGTTGTTCTCACATAAGATTGTGTGTGTGTTTTTTTTTCTCCTGGAATAATGCCACAGGTTTTTGCTTAAATGTGACACTATTGCTTAGTGTTTAAGACCATTAATCAGTTCTTTGTTTCTTTTATTTGACATCCTTCCATTAAAGCTTCCCTCAGATTCCTTCAAGTATCTCACTTGGCACGAGTTAAAAGAACATGATGTTCGAGGAAATCAGATTCGTTGCCCACGAGTGAGAGAAGGTGAAGATAAACATTTGTTCCTACGGGGAAAAAAGACATATTTATTGCAAATATGAAGTATTTTATCCTGTACAGTATTAAATTCCAGGATGAAATCCTGGCCTTCCTGAAGTTTTGGAAATGTTGCCATTGACTTTCTATATTGTAGAAGTTTCATTTTTTTAATCACTCAGGACTTATTTACACTACAGAGAAGATCGAAGCTGCTGCAGTTGATCTTCCAGGGTTCAAATTAGTGGGTCTAATGAAGACCCACTAATTCGTACTGAAAGGGCGCGCTCATCAGCACTGGTAGTCCTGCTCCTCACGAGGAGTAAGGAAAGTTGACAGGAGATGACCTCTTGGTATCTGGAGTGCACCAAAACATGATTTAAGATACTTCGAATCCAACTATGTAATTAACATAGTTGGAGTTGTGTATCTTAAGTTGACTTTCCCCTTTAGTGTAGACCTGGCCTCAAACACCAGATGTGTAAAATTTAGAGTTAAACAAGCAGAGTGAAAGTCAAAACTGTAATTTCTATGTTTTCAACATTATTGCTTGATTTGTTATGTTCTTTACATGTGCATCATCATTTAAATATTGTATGTCACAGTCACATATCCCAAAGGAAAAGGATGACAAATAGAGGGTAAAACCCCAATCTGAAAAAAGCAACACAAGTGCTTAATTTTAAATATAAGTGGCCTCACTGAAATAAATGGAACTACTCAAAAATTTGAACTTAGGCACGTGTTTAAAATTAGGTGTTTACAGGATTGAAACCTAAATCGAAAAAATCAGTGGGGCAGTATATTATATTATATAAGAACACACATATGCATATAAATATATGGCAGCATTTTCAAATCTTGGGTGTCTAAAGTTAGATGCCTAAATAAAAGCTTTTATTGGGCATTGAACTGAACAGGAAATCTTATTTAATAACAAGGCACCAACTCACAGTTTGTTGGTTTTTAAATTTTTCCTGTTACAGACTACCCCTCTGAAGCTTATAAATTGTATGTAAAGAGTTGAATTAGCACACACAATATAGTGAAAATCTCCAAATTAATTTACTGCTGAGGCTGGGAACCTACTTTGGTATAATACTGTGTATATGATTTCAAATCAATTATTTCCCCAACTACATATATTCTCTTAAAAAGTAACTGCAGACACCAAATCATATCAACTATTGAAAATATATTGTTTCTGAGCAGGGCCTTCTGAAGAAGAGCTCTTTTTCAGAGGAGAAGAAGAGGCTTTGCAAGTAAGAAAACAAGTAACAGAAAAAGAGAAATGGCAACAGAGACAGCAAGAGAACTGGGAAAACTGTGCAGTAAGATCTTAGTATTAATTATTGTTATTGATATAGCTCCACAAGAGTATGTTGCACTGTATAACCCACAAGCGAAACAAATAATTGGGCCAATTTAAGAGTGCTGACTGGGACAGTATATGGTGCATTACATAAGAGTACATAGTCTGGACTGTACTATACTAAGAAAGATTATGGTTTGGACTATGTTCTGTGCAAGTAAGGACAGAAAGTAAACTCTTCACCACCTTATGGGCCTACATGGGCTACCCAGGTACTTTGGATTTGGGCATACAGAAATAATGAACTATTTGCCTGCTTAGTTACTTCTTAGAACAGATGGGTGAAAAGTGGTTCCATCCTTTTCCCCCTCCATGCATGGTGGCCAGAATAGCTGAGCAGGTAAGATGGGGGCTCAAAGTACTGACTTACCACAGTCAATTGTGATTACCCTAATAGCAGTGGTGTAGAAGGACAGGAATTGGGAAACTAAATCATGGTGCTTTTTGGGGCTGCTTTTGGTGAAACAGCTTCTGCATCTCTCCCAGCCTAAAGGCACAGTCTGACCTATTGAAAAGAGATGCCTTTATGAATGGAAAGTCCAGAGAATAGATAGATTTGGGGAGGGAGCTTTGCATATATAATAACTGGCAGATTGTTCCAGGCGTATTGGGGCGTGAGGAAGAAGATACAAAGGTGAAAACAAGTGAAACTCTTTGGTGGAGAACATAGGGGAAGGAGAGATGCCAGTACAGAAGTATACAGAGTAATTCATCCAGTTTCAGCTATATTCCAGTAATTTGTAATTCATATAATATAACTTCAGTTCTGTCTATCTCTTACATGGTAGGTGAGCTGAACAAATTTAGCAGCATAATTCTATTATCCTTGGCCAAATTTGGCAACATAATTTGTTTTAAATTAGGTATAACTGTGCCATACTAAAATAAACTCACATTGTAACAGATCCTGTGGTTGCAAAAGATTTTAATAACTAATTTTTAAAAGAAAAAATGAGCTAAAGAAATTTCTTTTGCATTTTTCCCCATCCCCAGAATTTGAACCTTTCATTTCAGGACTTGGGAGACGCTTACCAGCTAGAAAACTTGAACAGGATTCTCCGGAGATTAATTCGAGTGGAAAGGCTTTGGTTGGTGGACAATTCTTTGACAGACCTAAGTGCCATAAGGTTGCCAAGGTAGATGGAAAAATCTTGTTGCCAGGTTCTATCCAGAATCATAGACTTCAAAGGAAGTTTTGCCATTGACTTCTATGGGAGCAAAATCAGGCCTTTAGCGATTAACAGCATAATGTGTGCATATATGCTATTGAAAAAAATCCAGTTAATCTAAATGTAAATTGTAAAAGATATCTGCAAAGCTAAATTTTCAGGGCCTAGTCTTGCAGTCTTTGTTGTGCAAAAAATACCATTGCCTAGTGGAGTTATATCAGTGTAAAAATGCATGACATCAGTTGTTGTGCAAAAAATACCATTGCCTAGTGGAGTTTTATCAGTGTAAAAATGCATGAAATCAGGATCCTGGAAGATGAACTTCCTTAGTCACAGAACAGATAGAGCAGATTGTGTAAACTTTCTCACCCAATGCTTCATTTTCCTCAGTCCTAATAGAAAAGAAAAAACAGGACTATGTAGCACTTTAAAGACTAACAAGATGGTTTATTAGGTGATGAGCTTTCGTGGGCCAGACCCACTTCCTCAGATCAAATAGTGGCAGAAAATTGTCACAACCATATATACCAAAGGATACAATTTTAAAAAAAAAAGAACACATATGAAAAGGACAAATCAAATTTCAGAACAGAAGGGGGATGGCGGGGGGAGGTAAATGATAATGATATCATTAGCTCACAGACATTTACCTCCCCCCCCATCCCCCTTCTGTTCTGAAATTTGATTTGTCCTTTTCATATGTGTTCTTTTTTTTAATTGTATCCTTTGGTATATATGGTTGTGACAATTTTCTTCCACTATTTGATCTGAGGAAGTGGGTCTGGCCCACGAAAGCTCATCACCTAATAAACCATCTTGTTAGTCTTTAAAGTGCTACATAGTCCTGTTTTTTGTTTCAGCTATACCAGACTAACACGGCTACATTTCTATCACTAATAGAAAAGGGCACAGTCAAGGGGTGAGGAGTTAGTTCAGCCTGTATGTGTATTTTATTATTGACAAAGACCTGAGGCTGCACTCAGAGAAGATATGGACCGTGTGGTGTAAATTGGACCTTATGCTAATTCCATCATATTCCCTTATTCAGTTCTATATCCAACCACTCTTCCTACTTGTATGGCAGTCTGAGCTGGTACAATTTATGCATTGTGACCTCAAAAGAAGGTATCAGAAGGTGTATGCTAATGTAGCCCACATACTACTTTTCTTTTCTGACTGTAAAGGAGTCTAAACTAGCATAATGAGGTCCAAATCATGCCACCTTCCATATCTCCACTGAATATGATCCAGCAACTGCTAGCTGTTTCTGCTGTGATTTTTACAATGTGGGCAGTTGTCCTCTAGAAACTGATTTGAGGTCACCAGAGTGACCGTTGGGTGATTACTGACTTAGTCTGGATTTAAACTAGTAACCTAGAAAGGGGCATTATCACCATCCTACTACAATCTGTTTGGATCCTCTTAAAATTAATTGCAATGAATTAACAAGTATGTAGTAGATCATCAGCCGGCATAAAATGGCCTATCTCTCCTTAAGTTAATAAAGCTACACTCATTTACACCAGCTAAGGATCTGGCCCTACATCTATTTCCTCACAATAATTAAGGATGTATATTCTTCTGTATATGTGATGGCATGCATTTTTGTCCTTTACAGATGCAAAGAATTAAATGTCAGTAAAAATCATTTTACATCCTTCAAACAGCTGCCAAAGATCCCTCAGATTCGTCACTTGTCACTGGCTGATAACAACATTGAGACACTAAGTGGGATATCAGACTTGAGATCCACTCCGCTAGAATCCCTTGTACTCATGAGGAACCCCTGTGAATTTAAAGAACACTACAGGGAGCTGTAAGTTCTACATTATTGCCAGTAGAGTGAAAAAATATCTGTTCCCATGAAAGCATAAATGTTATACACAATTGACATGTGTGGCAGCTTTTATGGATAGTAAAGGAAACTGGCTTTCTTCTTGCTGTAGTCTTCTGTCATCACAGTTCAAGTCTTGCAAACTCAGGCTAGTTGGCAAGATTACTTGTGTCACTAATGTTCCCCCGGGGGAATAATTCTCTATGGATTTGTCCTCTATGTGGAATTTTCAGAAAGTGCTTGACAATGCTATAATCCAACAGCTAAGCGAGAATGAATCCTCAAATGCAACCTCATGAGTTAAACTGAAGCCTGTGCACCAGGTTTGGAGGCAATCTATAGGTATAAGATTTATTCCCTTTAACTTAAACTGCCTCAGGCCAATTCTCACTCTAGTGATAGTGTATTAGGAGTCTAAACTGAATTACATGGCAAGAATCTGGATGAAGGTGTTAGGAGGTATAAGCTAATTTAAAAGGTGGTCCACTCTACATTACAAGTTCTTGTACATCTCTTGAAAAACAATTAATAGTTTAACAGCACCTTACAGACTAATAAAACATGTAGATGTTATCATGAGCCTCCATGGGCACAACCCACTTCTTCAGATGGAAGGTGTGTGTCGTGCCCACAAAAGCTCATGCTACCATCATACATGTTAACGGCTGTGTCTACATTGGCACCCTTTTCCGGAAAAGGGATGCTAATGAGACAAGTCGGAATTGCAAATGCCGCGGGGGATTTAAATATCCCCCGCGGCATTTGCATGAACATGGCTGTCGCTTTTTTCCTGCTCGGGGCTTTGCTGGAGAAAAGCGCCAGTCTAGACGGGATCTTTCGGAAAAAACATCCCCCGCGGCATTTGCATGAACATGGCTGCCGCTTTTTTCCGGCTCGGGGCTTTGCCAGAGAAAAGCGCTAGTCTAGATGGGATCTTTCGGAAAATAAAGCCTTTTCCAGAAGATCCCTTATTCCTGATTTTAAGAGGAATAAGGGATCTTCCGGAAAAGGCTTTATTTTCTGAAAGATCCCATCTAGACTGGCACTTTTCTCTGGCAAAGCCCCAAGCCGGAAAAAAGCGGCAGCCATGTTCATGCAAATGCCGCGGGGGATACTTAAATCCCCTGCGGCATTTGCAATTCCGACTTGTCTCATTAGTATCCCTTTTCTGGAAAAGGGTGCCAATGTAGACACAGCCGTTTTGTTAGTCTAGCAGCACCTTAAAGACTATCTGTTGTTTTTCCAGTTACAGACTAACTCAGCTACCCCTCTGAAGCTTTTGTACATCCCTGGTAGTGGTTTTTCTTGACGGTCTCCTTTTTTCTGCATCCTAACACTGTGAGTTACATTAACTTATGCATTAGACTCAAAGGATCAAGTTCAAAGGTGTTGCATGATAGAACAAGGAGGTGAGTCTAAGGCCAGCCAACACTAGACCTGTAAGGTTGGCTTAAGATACACAACTCCAGCTACATAGAATACGTAGCTTGAGTTGGCTTACTTTAAGCCATGCTTGGCAACATGAGTTGGCTTACTTTAAGCCAAGCTTGGCAACGACCACACAGCAATAAGCTGTGCTGGCTAGAGCCGCCGTCAGTGTTCGATTTACGGGTCTGTACTAGACCTACTAAATCGAATGCCAGAATGCCAATCTCCAGCACTGCGAGTAGAGATGTGCCCTATTTGAGTACATTTTGGAGAGTCTAAGTTGGTGTAAAATGTTCATGGAGAGAGTTGGAAGAAGGAGCAAGTTATACTCCCATGAGTTTCATCTCTGTGATTGATTCTCCCCACTCCACTAGGACTCTGAAAGACCTTCCACAGCAATAAATGGCAGCTGGGTAAAAAGGGTTTTTTGAGCTTGTCTCTGCTATAAGCTCATCAGAGACTTGTGCTGCCAGGAGGTTCCTAGGGAACAACTAATGAGGGACAATTGTCCCCATTGCAAACACAGGATCTATTAGCTGTGTCTTCTGGAACCTTAGCCTGCATGAGGTTTCCTGGCCACCTGCACCCAGTCCTTACAGAATGAGTACAAAAATCCCTCTCCCGCAAGGAGAGTAAGAGAAGGTGATTCCTTGATATGAATCTTGTTGAGTTTCCAGCAGGCTTTTTCCCTTAGGGAGATGATCATGATTGTGTATTTTAAAGGTATTTTTCCAAAAATATATTTAAAAAATACTGTACCCTGATATCTGAGATCTAGCACTGAGCCAGTCGGAATTTCATTTTCACAAGATTCAGAAGGGTAATCGTGTAAGTCTGTTTCAGCAAAAACAATGGGAAGTGCTATGGCATCTTAAATATTCAGCAAAAACAATGGGAAGTCCTATGGCATCTTAAATATTAATACTTGTATTTGGGCATAAGCTTTTCTGGGCTGGAATCCACTTTGACAACTGAGGAAGTAGGTTCCCACCCATAAAAACTCATGCTCAAATACATTTGTTAGTTTTTAAGGTGCCACACCACAGTATATCTGGTTATTTTCACAAGAATAATCCAAAAGGACCAAAAGAGAGGAAAAGTCAATACTTAACATTAATTAATAAAGCTGCCTTTGTTATATTGAGGTAGACTAAAGCATCTCATGCCAAAGGATCTAAAAGCCTGTTCCAAAGTAGATATATTCCAGGGTTGCTTCACGCCCTACTGGAATACAGACTCCTCTGGGGCCACGGGTAGCAGAAATTAATAATACTAGGAAGAAACTATGTTCATATGAAAAAGTACACTGGACTCTAATGTTCACTGAAGGCCAGATGCATTGATTGCAGATAGTTTGGGATCAGGTACATAGAACAGACAGGGCATATGTGTTTACTGTCATATAATGAAAGAAGTTCATGTGCAGAAAATGCATAAAACTGAGTTTATTGCAGCAAGATAGAAGTTGAGTCACAAACTTTGCCGCTTGGGTTTGTCGTTTGAAATTCCTAGGCACCTACAAAGACTTAGCTACAAAGCCCTCCTCTTTGTGATACATTAAACAACAGGCATGTTTCTCTCCTGTGTTACAAGTGTTTAATGGTTGTTTAACTCCATTGACTTCAGTGGCTCCATTGACTTCAGTGGCTCCAGTACAGTACAGTGCACATTCAGAAGTTTTGTCTTATCTAGTCTGAAGTGGCATACCCAGTTTGGGGTCTGAATCCATATTTCTGGTATGTTCAAATACAATGTTTGGCCAATCGCTACATCTGCTTGTAATATTAGCCAAGTAAATACCTAAAATTTGCTATTTGTTCTTTGATTTCTCTTGCAGAGTGTTCTCCAATTTGCCAAACTTGAGAATGCTAGATGGGGTCCCAAAGCTGCCAGAAGATTGTCCACCTCCAGAAATCAGTTCTCTTTCAAAAATATGCACCATACTGTAGCACTGTATCTAGTATCAGAATGGAGCTAATGGAATTGCCACAGTTAATAGAACTAAAAATCCAGTTAATAAACTTTTTTTTTCTGATCAAACTGGTATAGTGTCATTCTTGAAAATTTGATCCATTTGTATGTGCAAGAGAGAAAACTGAGGGGCAGATATTAAAAGTTTGGCACACATATGTGCATACATCCTGTGTACACGTACTTAAGCTAGTGCATGGAAATGTACATATGTTGTTATACTTTCTAAACTTGGAAATCTGGTCCTGAATGGTATAAACGTATATCATGTTCCTCATCATCATTTCAGTGATTTTCAGTTAAACTACAGATAAATTGGACATATTGAGTTTTGTTTTCCCTTCTTTCTGATACCAACATAACTCCATTGACTTCAGTAGAGTCCTGGGCCAAGACTTTCAAAAGTAGAGCCTAAAGTTAGACTCCTAAATTCATATTTGGGAGCTGCCAGGAATTCAACCCTTTTGAATACACTGAAAGATGTCAGACTAGATGGAACAAATGAGCCAAATTCAGATATAATGTAGACTCCTAATATTCAAAGTTCTGTATGATCAGTGAGACTTGTTTCAGCAATTCTATTAATAATATACAAGATGGCGATGGAATTTGGAGTTCTCACTCTGGGTCATATTGCACAGTTAAAAGAAGTGAAAATACAACCACAACTTCTTTTGTTCACTAACCCTAACAGACCTGACTCTGCATATACCCAGGGAGCAGATCTGCTGAATGAGAAACTACCAGTTGAATCTAATCACTTTTCAGGGGAGAACAGGACTTTAATACTTGACATTGACAAAGTTAATAAAAGAACTGCAAACATGTCTATTTAAAAAGAATATGCATTCATCATGGCTTTGCTTGTTTTGACCCTTTCATTTATATCTATTTAGTTATTTTCCCTGTATAATTTTCTGTTGTTGGAGGAGATGGCTGAGTACATTACAAAGACCGCATTAAAAGATACATTATTTGCTAAAAAGGAGCTCATGGCTGGCTGTGGAGTCTGAGCAAGTGCTGAGCCTGGAACCCAGCCATACCAACCGAGGATACTGCAAGAGTCCTATTGGCTACTGTGGAGGGTAGTGTCTCTATAGAGCAACACTTAGTGGGAGGTAAAGACTGTATGCCCCAAAAGGATTTGTTTCTTCTGTTCCATGTATAGATAGTTTGTATGATTTGGTTGCAGGACTGAGTCACGGAAGACCCAACAAAGAAACCATCCGCTGGTGGAGGTGGGGGGGGATCAAGAGGGCACTTGCAAGAGGTGGGTACCAGACCATTCCGATAACTAAGGGTACGTCTACACTACAGAAAAGGTCAAAGCTGCCACTGTCGATCTTCCAGGGTTCAAATAAGTGGTCTAGTGAAGACAGCTAATTCGAACTGAGTGTGGCACTCCGGTCGATGCTGGTAGTCCTGCTTCCATGAAGAGTAAGGGAAGTCAAAGGAAGAGTGTTCTCCCTACGACTTCCTGCAGTGTGGACTGTGCCAAAAGCCAAGTTAAGGTACTTCGACTTCAGCTATGCAATGAGTGTAGCTGAAATTGAGTATCTTAATTCAACCTTGTCCTGTAGTGTAGACATTCGCTAAGAACCAGCAGGCTCACACCCGACCAGAAGAAGGTGCTCGTGGGAGTTGGGTGCCACGCTATTCCATACAGAAATATTGCAAGCACACATTCAGCCAGAGAGGGCTCAGGAGAGGTGGGATGCCAACCACGTTAAACTCAGACAGAGCTTGAATGCACCATAACTGATGTCAGGGAAAAGTAATTAATCTTTGTATGCATCTTGAGTAGCACCTTTGCTTTGATACTGTGCATACTTTATAGACTAACTGAAGTGTAGGAGCATAAGCTTTCGTGGGCAAAGAGGGTCTTTGCCCACGAAAGCTTATGCTCCTACACTTCAGTTAGTCTATAAGGTGCCACAGGACTCCTCGTCACTTTTGCAGATTCAGACTAACATGGCTACCCCTCTGATACTTGTGCATACTTTGTAGACAATGTAAAGTAAAATCTAAATTAAGTGTATACATTTTAATGAATGCAGAAGCCACATTAATACAACAGTAAGAATATGAATATAAACACACAGAAGTAGGAAAATTAGTTCGGCTCCTTCATACACCTTATGAAACCCTATAAATCATCTGTTGGTCAGAGGAAAATGGGCTTTCAGATTAAGCCAGTGGCAAAAGCTGTCCCCAGTTAATTTGCATCAGGATTTTCATTGAGCACTCTCAGTTTTCACAGGAACACAACTTCCTCCTTTTGGCCTGAAACTTTAAATAACTCTTTTTTCAAACGTAAGGTTTCATTTTGAAAGTCCGAGTGAAATCCTGTCTGCTGCTTGTGAGTCACTGTGGGTGTGACTATGCTTTTTGCACTTTAAAGAAGATGGTTGGGGCCAATTCTTTAAAGGCAGTTAAGTGTCTAAAGATGTAGGTGGGTGAGTAGTGGTATTTTCAAAAGGGCTTGGATGTCTAGGCCCAGATTCACAGAAGTAATTTGGCACTTAAGCCTAGGCTGCAGGGATGAGAAGCCCTGCTTTATAACCGAAAGCCCAGTCATTAGGATAATCAGTTAGGTCGTGAGAGACCGCTGCTTCCATTCTTTGCCTGGTGAGGAAAAGGGGTTTGAACAGAGACATCTGCCACCTCTCAAGTGAGTCCATTAAGCACTGGGCTATCCACTTGTTCTCTCTCTCTCTCTGGTTTAAATAATATTTAATTATTTAATTCAAGTGGAAGAGAGATTGAGCCTCCCACCAGACTATCATGTTGCATCCCAGGAATGGCAGCGAGAGCCCATCCTGGGGAGGAGCAGGCTGACAGTGGAAGAAGCCCCAGGTGCTTCAAGGCATGGCTCCCATAGTCAGCCAGTGCTGTTGTGGCACTTCAGCTGCCACCACCAGGCTGGTGACACCCCTCCAGAACAGGGTCCCTCAGCCAGTCCCAGCTCTGGGGTGGCAGGACTTCCTGCTGTCAATCCCAGGTGGCGGGGGCTCCCCTGCCAGCCTGAGAAGTGGGAGAGGAGATCCCACTACAGCCCCTCCTCCCAGGTCCTGGGGAGGATGAAGAACCCTTGGAGAGGCTGTGAGGGATGAGCTATGGCCTGGGAGCTGCAGGGGAGCTGAAGTGAGGAGGGTGGGGATGTGCTGGGTAAGTTCTAGCAGATGAGGTGAGTGCTGGCAGGGTGAGCAGAGGGCAGTGGGAGTCCATGGAACTAGGGGGACTGAACTGGGGAGCTGAGTGTGGGGAGCTGCATTGGTGACTGGTAGACGGGATGAAGTGCTCGGCAAGGGCAGATGTGTGTGTTGAGGGGGGAGGGGCAAAATGAAGTTGGGCGAGTGGGCAGCCCTATCACAGGCACACAGCCTGGGGATGGGCAGGGAAGATCTGAAATAGGGTCAGTGACCTACAGAACACATCATCAGCTTTTTATCAACAATTTAAGGTTTGACTAATGATTTTTAATTTCTTGAAGTTAGCAATAACGAAGTCTGGAGCCAGGCCTGATGACAGGAGGTAAGGGGGAGCAAAGGGGGCAAATGCTACTGCAACAGTATCCGGAGGGCCAGGCTCTTTGAATCCCCACTGGAGCACAGTGCAGTGTTCTCCAGGAGGCCCTGGGGGCTGGATGCCCTGGCCCCACCCCTCCTACCAAAGGCCCCACCCATCAGGGCCACCTTTAGGCCGATTTGACCAATTCCCCCGAATCGGGCCCCACACCTAAGAGGGCCCCGTGCCCTAAAGCCAGAAGTGTGCTGGCTGGCCGGGCGTGCTGCGGGAGGGGGCATCAGCCCTGGAGGAGAAGCGTGGCGGCTTCCCTGTGCCACAGGAGGGGTGAGTCAGCCCCGGGGCAGGCATGCACGGGGCTTTCCCCATGCCGTGGGAGGTGGGGGTCGGTCCCAGGGCAGATAGCGTGGGAAGGGGGAATCGGCCCCGGGGCAGGGGGGCGTGGGGGAGGGGTTGGCCTTGGGGCAGGTGCACGTGGGAGGGGGAGTCAGCCTCGGGGCAGGGGCGTACGGGGGTTTGCTTGCACTACGGAAGGGGGGAGTCTGGCCCGG